TTGCTCAACCGTGAGATTCGCGAGGTAGGAACTGAGGACGTGTCTGCCCGCCGGGAACCACTGCGACAGAGAGTGGACTGGAATGCGTAACGTTTCCTGTCAAACAATGGGCCGTGTATAATTCGTCTCAGATGTCGGGAGGGACGCGAGGGGACGGTCGTTCAAAAACACAGTGAAGAGTAAGCAAGAGGTCTGGTGACTACTGCGGAAGTCGATTATCGACATTGCACACGAATACAGCCCCCCGTTCGAAGTCGGTTGGCACGTACGGCCGCCTGATCGTGTCGCACCACCCCCTGGTATCCAACCTTCTCGTTTCGCCAGCCCTCTCCGAGTCCCACCAACTTGCCTACAGACGACGCACCGTCCACCGGTGCACCCGCACGCCGGTCTGGCATGACGACGTCCCACAGCGTTTCCTCCTGGTCGTCAGTGTGAGTCTCCACCGTTATTGTCGCCTGTCTGGAGACTCCTAGACGCAACGTTCCCGTCAAACCCTCCAGCACCGGTTTCCACAGCATACGTTCGGCGGCGCGCTCCATTTAAATGGCACTCTTCAGGCCGTCTATCAATAGCTGGAAGTACATGCTCTTCACGGCTGAAAACCGAGCGTCCGAGATGAGCGCTGCGAGCTTGTCGAGAGCCCCGCGCGGCTCGTGACGGCGCTGGCGGGGAGCCTGGGGTCGGCGTAGCGCAACCGCGGGCTGTCCCCTTGCGCGAGTCTGCGCACAATGGCGAGGAGACTCGCTGTCGTGCCCGTGCCCGCCTCGATGGTGAGGTTCTCCACGCCCAGTAACCTCGAGAGGGAAGACGCGGCTGCATCGGTGGCGTCAGTATGCGTGAGAGCGTGCAAGGCCGCGGAATTCCCTACCCGGGTGAGATGGGACGTGGATGGTGAGCTTGCGGACGACCACAATGAGTTTGGCGAGAGCGGAGACGCGCAGCGCCGTGCAGAGGCCGGGGGTTGACTCCGTGGAGTCGTCCCTGCGAAAGAAGATCCCCTCGAAGGTGGTACACGAAGGAGTGCTTGCGATGTGGTGGAGGAGCACGTCAGTCCTCCTTGCCTTCCGAGGTCCATACCCACAAGGAGTGGAGCGCTGGTCGGGGACGGCGGTGTGGTGGAGGCGTAATATCGATAGGAGAGATCGAGAAGTGGGTATCGATGACGACGAGGTCGCGCAGATTAGGGAGAGCCCGGATGGTCCGTCGGAGGAGCGAGAAAGACGGGGACTTGCAGCGCCGCAGCTCGAACTTGGTCAGCGCTATGAATGTGCGAAGCTTGCAGCGCCGTTGTGCAAGACCAGGCGATGCCGGCCAGGGTGATGGTTTTGAGAGCGGGGACGCGGCCGGCCATGCAGGAGAGAAGTGCGGCCAAAGAAGGCGGGTGCTCCTGTGACTCTAGGTTGCTGTCTTCCTCTAGGAAGAGCGTCCGGAGCGGAGGCGCGGACGCCGATAGTGACGTTAGGATGACACGGGTGACGAAGAGATATGCTCGATTGACTGTGAGGTGGCCGACATTGGAAATGAGGAGGTATCGGCTTGTCGGAAGTCATCCGTGAGAATCAAGAGCGCAACGGAGTAGTGTTTGTCTATCACCTCTGGGGTCGAGGTAGCATATGATGTGGTCTGAGACCTCTGGAGGGACGCGGGGAGACCGTCGGCGCCGGGGATCGATGACTGCGTTGAAGTGTTGGGGGAGATTTCCGGTGGTGACGAGAACCAACGTCGTGCATCGCCTGGCCGTGCGGAGGGGAAGGCGTGTCATCCGAGTGTCCAGACGACTGGGATTTCGTATGGAGGCCACCCTGACCGTTTCGTATCGGTGAACGCCTATGTGTTGCCTCGTTTGCGTTCCAGTCACGTTCAGCTCACCTCCTCGCGCTCGAGAGTGGATCGGGCAATGGAGAATGGCAGGTTCGACGCGCCGATGTTGCACGCGTCTGCGAGGCGGACGGGCGAGGCACGAGAGCTTGCGATAAAGCATACTGGTGCCCTGTTGACCGGCCGTTTGAAATAGCTTCGTTACACACGGAGTACAATATGGGCAGTCGAGACTCGACGTACCTCCTACTTAGTCGGACGGCTGCATTGAGCACTATTGTAGTAGTACCCCCATTGAGTCCGCCGAAATCGGTTGGCGCGGAGAGAGAGATGCTGTACCGGCGGGTACCAGGGCATGGTCATTCGGATCCGAGGTTTGCGAACGTTGTGGATGGAGGACACAGCGCCGTAGCATGCTTGACGTCTGGTCCTGAGAGAGCAACTGGCAACTGCCGCCCAGAAGTCGATCTGATGGAACGGATCCTGTCGAATCGGATAAGATCGACTCATGGCGGCCTGGGGGCCACCGACCAAACACGCACAAAGCGTCGTGAGAGGTCGCTCGGAGTCGCGACGCGACCGCCGACGACCGTCCGCCTCATCCCTCCGCGCGTTCTTTTACGATGTCCTGCCATTATCGCCAACTCCGCATCCTTGCCGGCTCCTGAGGCTGCTCTCCTACGCGTCGTCGTCTCGCTCCCGCAAGTGCACCCTGACAGACCCCCGCGCCTCTTCTTCGCGCACCCGGCTCGCGATATTTCCAGTACTTGGGCTTATGCGAGTACCCTGTACCGAACGTGATACGACCATTCAATCAAACAGAGTGCGCGTATAATGATGAGTGGGATATGCAACAAGCTTGTGGTGCAGGAGAACCGGAGCAGGTATGGATTCTCCAGGATTTCCTCTGCCTCTAGAACATTTGCCTTGTGCGTGGGTGGATGTGTTTTGCGTCGGTCTTTTTCGTGTCCAACACACTCCGTTTGTCGCCTGCATCAACCTGCTTCACGAAGTCCTATCGCCTTGAGTTGCTTCTGTCTAACTGCCAGTCGTTTCGGATGAGCGTCGACCTTTCACTCTCACCCGAAGTTCGAGGAGCGATGTACACACGACATTGGTGAGTGTATGCGCCGAATCTGACCAATTTGTTTTGTTGACCAGTCCAACCAGGCACTGCACCCTCTTCATTCTCAACTTATGCGGCGTCGCCAACGCTCGCCTCGATCTCCCTCGGTCCTTCGCTTTTGTCTTCCCCCATACCTCCTCGATCTCCTCGAGCTCATCCCTCACCGCGCGCGAAGCGCGTCCGCCGGCTCCACCATTCTCTGTGGTGGCAGAGTTCCTGGATGAACGCGTTTTTCACCGCGTTTCCTATCCAGGTGCCTATCGCGAAGATGTACACGACCAAAACGGATGCCGCCGCGTGTTTGAGGACGTCGAGCTGGGTCACCACGGTTTTCAGCGACATCTCGAACCGCAAGAAATTCTGCAGAGGTGCTCCGGCTCGGATGCTCTTCCTGAGCAGGCTCCGTGACGGTGGTGATCAAATTCTCATTGAGCATGGTGAGCTGCGTCTCCTTTCCCCCCTTTCCAATCCGCTCCACGAGACACCTCGCATTTCCCTTCCTCTACCGTTGCTCGTAACGCACTGAGCCCGCGTTACTCAACAGAATAGCTGCGTTCGTCAGACCCTTGAACCTGAAATCAGAAGTTCGTCGGCCGCGACGTCCGCTGGCGGTACTTCGTCTCCGGATCCGAAATGGCGTACGACAACCCCCGCGCTGGGTGCTTCTGGACTCAGGCAAGATCCACGGGGTTGAGATTGCGACGGCGTCGAATGTGCCAGTTCCTGCATTCCGACGCCAACGTTACTCTTCATCCACAGCTTCCCGTCTATCTCCCTCCACTAGTCGCGTTAAGTCACCCACTTCGCCTCTCTCGGCCACGGCGTCCTCGTTCCCGATTGCCGAGGATACCCGGGCACGTCGACGCCTCGGGCCTCACCGACGTGGTCGCGATTGGACACGACCGGTGCGTCCAGTCTGGCTCTATGCCTATACACGAGGCAGTGCGTTACTGAAGCCGTCGATCTCGTCAGGGGAACCGCGCTTGTATCGGCGCTGGTTCACCACTGCCAGGATCGCTTTCGCGCGTTCGTGTGGCTCGCTGCCGCGTATTCCCCACCCGGCCCGCATGCGGTCGACCTCGAGCAGATGTGCGCGGCGCTCAAGAAGGCTACCGAGAGCGAGCACTTTGGGTACTAGAAGCTCTTCACGCCGGCGCAAGGCTCGTTGAGGAAAAGGTGCGCTCACCCATTAACGACACGATCTGCGGCCCGCAGCGATTGATGGTTCATTCGCGGTCAGATGGCAAGTGGCTTGAAGAAGACCGCCGTCCGGGGCTCCCGAAGTGGCACTCTGAGGATGTAGGGCGGCCTTGGCGCGCGACAAATAATCTCTGAAGTCTGTTCATCCAGGAATACAAGCGCATCCGCAGCGTTCTGCTAGAGGGAGGGATGACGTCACCAGTCAACTATCACAAAGTCGCCATCAACAACGGAAACTTGGCCGATCACAAGGGTACACCTCTCGCGGGCTCTCGTCCAGCTACTATGCCATCTCACAGCATTTTTTCAGACAGCTCTCCCGGAGGGGCGGTGGCACATCAAGAAGCCCGTTTTTCTTCGCGGCGACTCTCGACCACGTTGGTCGCCACGTGCCGAACGAGGAGACTCCCGCAAAGTACGCGACCGACGCCGAGATCATCGAGCTCAACGTCGGGCACGGGTTACAGATGGAGGCTTGCACCGACCAGATGAACGAAGGTTTGCAGCAATGGTTGCTGAAACTGCCGCCTGCCTCATCGCAATTGATTCATTGTGTTCGTATTTAGGCGCGCATCAATGTAGTCGGTTGAGTACCCCTATGGCGTTCTCTTTATACACTCCACCTCTTCAGTCCGTCTTCGCGAGCTCTGATCTGTGAGCGCTCATCAGCTCGTACGGGTACCGTCGGATGGAACGACGGCGGATCTTGCGTACCTCTTGACGCGGTCGCGAGAGCTGATTGCATTCGACCGCGCACGACCACTTCCCCGATTCTATTCTTTGGCTCCGGCAGACACAACGCCTTCCCACAGTATGAGATCCCCCTCGCCGACACCCTCGTCGCCCACACAAAATGGGGCAACGCCCTCACCAAGGCCTCAACGACGCGCGGGCCGCCCCCAAAGCCGCCGCAACGTCCGGCCCCGATCGCATCGCACTCGCATTCTCCGCGTCCCCGTCTACCATGCAAAAGCGGACGCTCCGTTCGTCGGTCTTCGGAGGGCGAGCGCGGAGGGCGAGCGTCGCGAGATCCGCGATCCCCGTGGTGAACGACGCGGTGGGAAGCCCGACGATGAGGTTGTGCAGCGCGTCGCTGGTTACGTTTGCGAGGGCGCGCAAGACCGCTAGAAAGCCCGCGGTGGTGCTGATATGCATCAAGATCTCGAGGTCTGCCGTCCCGTGCAGTTCGGAAACGGAGGGCGCGTCTACGGCGGTGATGTGAGTTTCTGCTGAGGAGGCGAGAGTCACAGCAAAAGCTCGTACCGATGTGAGACGGAACGGCTATGGTGACTGTGGGGATGCCCCTCATGATCTCTGAAAGAGCGGCGGTGCGCTGCAGCGTGTGCGGACTTGGGTTTGATGTGCTGTAATGGAAGTCGATGGTGGAGGTCCCGTTTGTTCCGATCCGCGTCTGGGCACGGTAGCGCTCGTCAACGCATCGCGCGCGGTCGCCGGCAAAGCCATCCCCACAAGCTTCCTCCAAAATCGCGCGCGTTTCGTGATGAGGCAATCCGGCGTGTGAAAGCGACAATGTTCACGGGCCACTCGATGCACACTCTCGATAATCATAATCTGCACAACCCCCTCTCCCCCAAGTTGACCGCTCCCAGCTATGTCGGCCATCGACTCCTGCTGGCCCTGTCCCCGCGTCCCTCTGGATATCTCCGAGGACATCATACGACACCTTTCCCCCCGCAACGACAGACAGACGCTTTGCGCCTGTACCACCGTTTCCCGCACCTGGCTCCCTGCAAGCAGACGCGTTCTATGGTCCGGACACAGGCGGCTCACAGTGGAACAAGCAGATGTCTTCGTGAGTATTCTTATTCCATGGGTGGCGCCAGCGCGCCTCGAAACTTGTGCTGGACTCCCTCCAACTCACAAACACTATTCTTCGATGTTATCCTCGCTCACATGGCTCACCATGTTCCTATTCTTCCCTCCCAGGTCCAGGGGAAGATCATCTGGACTGCAAGTCCCCACGAAAGCATCCTCGCCGTCTCGACATCCACCTCTGTCACCACGCTCTGCCTGATATGCTGCACCCTGCCCTCCTTTTCACCCCTCCGTCGCACCATTACCACCATCCCGACCTTGTATACCTTCCATGTCCGAGGCCTCCGATTTGCTGTGTCTTCGGCGGACACTGAGTATGGATATCCTGAGGCATCCACAGCACTGCAGAACTTCGAAATACACATCGATTCGGAGTCCGATGAGTTGGGCTTTGCAAGACGATTGCTGAAGTGGCTCGCTGCCACACCAACACGGAGCTCCATCACCATTCGCGTCCTCATGAAGCAGCTCAGGTGGCCGATTTGCCTCCCTCCTAGGCTGATTCGATCGTCCGCCATTGATGATCTCCTACGCGTATCTGGCGCAATCCCTGGCAGACATTTCTCCTGGAAGACCTTTGACTCCGGTCAGTACACACCTCAGGCATTTGGAATGCTTCCCGCTTACCTTCGCGACCGGTCATTCCACAGAATTTCCATCATCCCGTCCAGGCCTCCAGCACTTGCAAGATCTCACACTCTGTCTAACAAACGGCGATGTAGAAGACCTACTGGCGCTCGTACGCACACTCGGAGACGGGTACATCCCAGAGCTGCGCAAGCTCACACTCGCCCTCCCTCAAGTAGCGCTCTCTCGCGCCATCGAGTCCCTCACGACGCTCGCGGAACTGGCCAGGTTGATCGGGCGCAGTCGTTATGCCGGCTTAGAGACGATGACGTTTGCCCTGATCGTCGAGGACTGCGAGGAGAGCAACGGAGCCACCCCGACCGCGATCGTGGCGGCACAACACGTCTTCGATGCGCTGGCGAGAGTGCGGGCGGACTTCATCATTCGGGCGACCGTGATGGTATCCCTCGCGAACAACATCCACCCTTTCGTCCCGCTCTGGTCCAGGGCCGTGCCATTCGAAGACCCTCACGCCAACGCCCCCACGCGGTCGTTTCCCTGTGTCCCTCTGGAGATCTCGGACATGATCATCCGATGCCTCAGTCCGTACTTAGACGCAACGACGCTTCTTCACTGCGCCCTCGTCTCAAACAGTTGGTTTCCTGCAAGTAGGCATGCTCTCCAGTCGGCCCGGGGACCGTTGGAGTTCACAATCAAGGAGGCCTATTCATTTTTCACCCGTGTCGCTCCTACATCGTCGTCAACTTCACTTTTGCGAACATCGGAAATTTCCGTGGAGGCAGACAGCAATGGAGAGAACCACTCGTCATCCTGGAACACGGTGCTCGCCCGCATGGCACGCTGCGTCCCCAACCTTCGTACATTGCACATGGAAGGTCTCGCCTTTGACTCCAGAATTCAAGCGCAGCACGCAGCCGCATGTCTCTCAGCCTTCACCCATCTAACAACGCTGGAGCTACAGGACAGCAAATTTCCGTCGTTCACGCTCTTCCGTCGTACATTGGCTGCACTCCCCAGGTTGAGCTATCTTGACACAAATTCCATTTCCTTCCCCATATATCCTGTCGACACTACAGCAATATTGCGCCAATCCTCACGACCAGTTCTGGAAACCCTCAGCATTGGTGGAGCGAAGAGTGATTGTAGTGACATCCTGTTGCACTACCTCGCAAGCACTCCTTCATGCACTTCCCTCAAGACCCTCCATTTCCGATGTCTTGAGCCATCGACTTCGAGTCCGTTCACAGTTCTGCGCACGGCTGCCCTTTCAAAACTTCTGCCATTCGTCGGCAGCTTCTACTTTGTACATCACACTCACACCGGTACGTCTATCTGCACCCTCGCACGCCCTGATTCATGCTGATGGTACCAATACAGACCCATCGTTCCTGTCTAGCTTGCGAATCGCGCACTATGTCGACCTCAATTTTCCAGCAGCCACGACCGAGACTCTCCTTGCGATCGCGGACGGAATAGTGCGAGCGAACAGCACCCATCTGTACTTCATACAGTTGTCGTTGCCGCTCGTCGTCCTCACGAGTGCGTCGGCCGCGGACATCGCCACCCTCGCAGGGCTCACGTCCGGCGCTGCATTCGCACGCGTAGAGTTGGCGTATTTCACTTTCCGCATGGAGAACCCAGTGTCGGAGGAAGACGCCGTCTTGGAACCCAAAGCCGCGGCCGCATTGGGGACGCATGTGGCGGAGATCGTGGGCAGCGCGTGGCCCCCCGGCAGTAGACAGGCGGACGTGCAGATTTTGATCTGTAGCGCCCGCAAATCGGAACATGTATGGAAGGGAATTTCACGAGCAGAACCTGCCAAGACGACAGAGCCTGCTCGCGGCGGCATGAGCACATCCGATTCTCCGTAGAGATGTCGGGCATGATGGTCAGGTTCGTCCCTAGGATGCCTGCATATCATGACACGAACTGATCAGCGAACGCCCAGGAGCACTATGAGCGAAGGGGGGCTTACCACATCCCGACGAGGTCCTCGTAGCACGGTGGACGTCCGTGCCGGACGAAAACGAAACGAGTGGTTGTTCGGGGGGCGAGCGTGACTTCGCGCACGATGGCTGACGCGGCGGTGGCGGCGGTGTGGTGCCCCGCGCGAGTGAACGCAGATGGACATTCATGGAAGAGAACTTGCTGATGACCGGAACCCGGAATGCCCCATCTGTATATATATGCGCGGCTTGTCCCGACTCGATCCCAGCTCATAACAATGAATGTTTATCTGCATCGAACGTGATCAGTACTTCAACGTGGTAGTAACGCCACTTCCGACATCCCCTGAAGAAACAGTGAATGACTACGTGAAGGGGTATATCGACCACAGAACCCAACGCAGTGTCACAATCATCAGGAGAGAAAAATGCACACCGTCGATTCTACAGCTTTGGAGCTACAAAAGGACCAACATCCGAAGTCTACACCTGTTTCCGATCGCACCGACCCGGAAGGTGCAACCGTAAATTCACGCCGTGACCTCCTTCGTCGTATACACCGGTCGCGGTACGGCGCCCGGGATCTCCTCGTCCGGACGGTCCGCGTCGAGATCCCCTCATACCCGAAGTAGCGCCACATCATGTGGATGTCGACGCCGGCCTGTTCCTGATCGCGCGTGCCGATGATGCCCTGACACTGGTAGACTGACTTCTTCTGACGAAGGGCGCACAGTCAGCACAGCGCGCGCGAGTGAAGGACACGGGAGAAGTAGTAGGAGAGGGTGGAACCAGAAGAGGAGGGATCGCGTGCAGAGCGAAGACGCGAGTGGGGAGAAGATACTCACCAGACTGAGGGACACCTTGATCGCCTGCGCGCCTGGGGTGTACTTCTCCGTCTTCTCCTCATGCGCCTCGGCCTCCTCCTTCTCACCCTCCCAGTCCTGCCCGACCGACTCGACAACCTCCCTCGACGCAACCTCTGCCTCGGCCCTCTCCTCGCGCTCAGCCCGCTTGATCAGCCGGATGACGTTCCACGCCGCAACTTCGCCCTGGAAGAACGCATTGTGCCCCACGTTCACCACGCCGAACGCGTCTGCCGCGTCCCCGATCGCAAAGATGTGCGCCGCCGCGACGCGCGTCCTCGCGTCCTCGATGGCCTCGAGCTGTACCTGTGACGAGGACGAGGAGGCGTTGTCGGAGGTCGCAGGCTCGGACGCGTCGTTTGAGCGGACGTCGATGGGGGAGAGCTCTGTCGACGAGGGTCCGGCAGAGATGGAGGCCGTCGCGAGGGAGCGCATGGAGGGCGGTCGGGAATTCGGACCCATGGGCGGGCTCCACGGTCTGGAGCGTGCGCCGGACGCGTGCGAGGTCCTTGTCGGGGCCATCGGCGACGACAGAGTGAGGAAAGGCGCCGGGGAGGAGCTGCAATCGCACGGCGTTGAGCACGGGATCAGGTCGAACACACCGGCGAGGGCGCATACCACCAGCTCCCCCTGTACTTCGCGCCTGCCGTGTGCGGACGACGCGCTCGCCGTTGCAGTGCTTGTTGTCGGCGAGTGAGGCGAGGTAGAGGCGTTCGCCGAGAATGGTGCAATCGTTCAGAGCTGAGAGGATAGATATGACCGGTCATTCCTTGGTAAAACCGTAGTGCACGAGAAAGGACCATACATACTCTCGCTGTGCATCGCCTCGTCGAACCTCGGCAGGAGGCGATGACGAGAGTGTAGCAAGGCGACATTTGCAGCTGGATAGATCTCCGTAAAATCCGAGACAAATTCTAGGGGACCAGGCGCGGTTAGCATACCAGAAAATGCAGGATAGAGATCTCAGATCCCAGAAATTGAATGGGCCAGCCAGATCTGACGACAATGACCCATCCCATAATGACATCCGCGCTCCCACAAAAGAGCGGTGGCCCAGGAGTCCAGCCAGCCTCTACGATAGCCACTGCAGCACACAGAACGTCATCGCGGTGGCCTCGACCGTGTCTCAAGTGCCATGGTACGCATAAATGCGCAGCCAACGCCCACGACCGGCCCCCGGAGAAGCTACTGGCCGTGGGCACCAGAACACGGACGGTGCCCACGATCGAACCACACGGCCGCACGTTTATGACGGTTTGCTAACGCAGAGACCGCAGTGGTGGGTAGGGGGGAATGCGGGGACAATGCGCGGGATGAAAGGAAGAGCACTCACGAATAACAAGGGCACCCGCACCGACGACCAGGATGGAAGCCGCGCGCGAGCGGCATTGGAACTGCTTGAGGAACGCGACCCCGCCCTCCTTCGTGCCGCGCGCTACGTCGAGAACCTCCGCCTTCTCCGTATCCTCCGTGGCAGGCTTCCAGAGGTTGATGGGAGAGGGGAGGTGCGAGCCGAGGGTGTAGATGAGCTAGTGGAAGTGGAGGGTCCGGTCGGCCTCGGAAACGCCGTGCTTCGGGAACGCATGCTCAAGGGTGAGGGTGTGCTTCGCGAGGGACGTCACGGATGCGTGTACCACGACCGAGCGTGCGGGGTCCGTGTATGCGGGAGACACGAGGGAGCCGGGGGTGGAGCCGGTGCGCGAAGGGAGGAAGGCGGTTTGTAGGGGATGAAGGCCTTGTGCTCATGGCCGGGGAGAACGGCGTACCGGGGGAGAACAAAATATGGTTGATGTGCGAGTCGCAGTCGACGAGAACGACGCGCCAGCCGTGGGGGAGGCCCTGGCGAGGATAGTGGCATCGCGGGCCTCGCCGTAGCTTCCACCGAGGATGGCAACGATCTTCATGGTGCTCGTGCAAGGTGTGCCGAGGGCGTCGGAGAGGGCCAGAACGCAGTTCGTATTACGAGGTCACGATAGAGTAAGCGGGGAGAGGCCAGACGGGAGGAACGCTGCCCAGCACTCGGCTGGTGCGGGCAGGAGAGAGAGAGACACGCTCGAGCTGGAGCCCCCTACTGAGACGCCTTAGCGCGCGCGACTATCTACGAGATTAGATAGCGCACCAGCCGAGACTCGCGAGGGGGATTGGAGGTACGAAAGCCCAAACAGCTTCTGGAGATTGCTCCTCCAGAAGCGGGCCCTTTTATATTCGCTAGCTACGATGTACATGAGTCAATGTGAGTCGCGCGTGCATTCGCGTGCTGCAGCGTTAGCTCGCCTGCTTGCACTCACATGTCGTGTAGAGTCAACGGAAATACAAAGAGCAATCGCGCGAAAGGCGCGAGGCGTCTGCGTACGATACTGGAAGAAGTAACTACGTAGTCAGGGCGCTGGTACGCTCCAGGCACAAGAGGCAACGTGCAGGAGCGCGCGGTCACTCTCCACGGCCCGGTTGTACATGAGGCGCTCAAGTGAGCTCTTGTACGGCGCGCGGTAGCCTCGTGGCTGGGCGTCGGAGCCGCGCGCTGCTTACTAACACCGTGACTTGCGTGATTACTGGAAAAGGCAAATTTCCGTAACACCTACGGTATGCAGAAAATCTTATCAGATACCGACGATAACCATTGTGCCGCCCATTGGCCTCCGCGATCAGGCGCCCGGGCGTTCGAAACCCTTGCCCCGACCATGGCCAGCTGGCCAGCTACAACGCAACTAAGTATCTGGGCCCACTCCGCGCGCGCGAGTCGGCGGGCCCTTGGCGACTCGACCGCAGTGACCACTGGACACTGCCCGTTCCCGGGATGGCCTCGCTTGGGACGGTGCGGACATGTCTTTCTCAGCCCGTCTGCGACGTTACAAACCCCCCGCCGGGCGCGGAGCATCCGAGTGCCAGAGAGGGAGGACACCGACGCCGGAATTTGTGCCAGCCGTTGTCCTCCCGCGCCCCCTTCGGCGGGAGTTCTCAGCGCTCAGCACCGACTCCGAACGGGAACCCCGCATTGTGTCGTGCACGCCGTTCGACCGTCTGGACACGAACCCATTCTAGCGCAAGCAGGCGTGTAAGAGGGGTGGGGAACGTATGGGTGCCGCATCAGCCCAGCGGTATTTTTCGTAAGTGTATCTTTTCTCGCGCGGTGACTGACGTGAAACGCACTCGACATTGTGCCTCTACGGCGACGCACGCTACCTATTCTTGTCACCACGACACCTGCGATGTTTCTACTTACGCCGGCCTCTTCATAAAGCGGATCGGGGCCGCACGCCAGCGCATCACTTAAGTGTGTATAGGATGATCGCAGCGGTACACCATGAAGGGTGAGTTCCTCAATGATTGCATCATGATTACTTACTACTCCTTTCAAAGATCAGGTCCGTGACGCACCACTGCATGGCGTCCCAGACCGCCACCAACCTCGACGATGCTGCCAAGGACGGATGCGATTCCGTTCGTCACACCAGCACGCGCGTGGTCAGTTCGTCTCCGGATTCGTGAGTACCTCGCTGATGCGCACTGCGTATCTAAGCTGGTCAGGCCCGCGCACCGTCGCCCGCTACGCTCCCGCACCGACAATCGGCGCCGTGAGCTGGGCAGACACCGTCGAACACGCCGGACAGAAACGCCCTCGAACCACCCTCCGCCATGTCCTTCGAGACAGACCTGAGGCGATTCCTATGATAACATCCACAGAAACAATCACCGCGACGTACCCTGACGGGAAATGCGGCACGGTCTCGTCTTCTATCAGAGCCTCTGCATATGGGAAGGCTCATTCATGCGCGGCAGATGGGGCGACCACACGGGCGCGGCTTGAGCTTCACGGGCACCCACAAAAGAAGTGGTCTTCTCCAGAAAGAAGACACGCTTAGAGGGAAAACCGCAGGACGCAAGCTCGAGCGCAACGGACGACCCTCGGATGCCGGCACTGGCGAAAAGCGGATGACCATCCCTGGCCCACCCCGCGTTCATCTCTTGCCGGCGAGGCTAGGTCTTCGCTATGTTAAACCCTTCTAGTCGCGGCGCTTCAATGCCGCCGGTTACGGCACGCCCAGTCAACTCCTTGGAAGGATTTCGTTTCATGGACCATCGCTGCTGGTGCTGCGCTGGTATCATACCTCGAACCTATATGCGCTCCCATCGCCAGCTCACCCCTCGCCCCGCCTAACTATCCCCATCCTCAACCCCCACCATTATCGTCTTCATGCCCGTCACCGTCCGCAAAGTGTCCAGCCCCTCTGGTGAGCGCACCACCTCCTCGACCAGTTCGTACATACCCTAACCCGGCGCTTGCAGAGGAGGAAATTCAGAATTACTCTCAAGTCCTCGCGGGCGCGTTCAACTACAGTGCGGAACCTTCCCCTTTGTGCTGCGCTTTGCAGCACCCTGTCGTTGACACGCCCACGCACCCCCCACACAGAGTACTTTGCAGGCGCGCTAATGAACGACGTCTCGCTCCAAATTCCTATGCACCGCGCACACCTCGCCCCCGCGCTCACCGGCGAGGGTGAGGTCTGGATCGCGGAGATGCCGGTGGAGGGCGTCGTTGGCGTCGCCATCTGGTAGGCGCATCTTCTTCCCGGTGCTGACTTCGTGGCGTTATGCTGACGTCGCGCGCGCGAGGTTTGGTCCGGGGTTCAAGTTCCTCTCCTCGTGAGGTTTCGAGTGTGCGTCTGCTGCCAGGTAATTACTGACGCTCTCTCCCGTCCGCACGCACCATGCAGCAAAGAGCAACGACAGGCGGGCTGGGATGATGTCATGGCGAAGCTCGACGACAGGTGCCGAACCTGGTGGCCGAAGGTGCATTCCGCTTCCGCGTCCACCGGTCAGCACGGTGCGATGATCTCGCGGTCGCGAGCAGTTCCTTTCGGAGTACGACGCGCTCGTCGAGTCTGTGCTCGGGGAGGGCGTGAAGCTCGGCGCGTGGCATCTCCAACTGATCGGCATCAAGCCGTCTTGCCAGAGGCAGGGCGCGGGCCGGGCTTTGCTCGAGGCTGTTGAAGCTGTGGTACGTTCGCTTTCGTTTGGGAACTGCGGAAGGTGCTCATGGGTGCTGCATCCAGGCGCGTGAGGAGAAAGTTCCGATCTGCCTTGAGACAACGGCCGGCGGGGTGCGTGTGTGTTTTGATCGTCCGCGCGCTTCTCTGACGCGCTCTTCGTTTATACAGACGGGGGAGAAGATATACGAAGCGTTTGGGTACACGATGCAAGGCGCCGGGCCCGTCATATGGACGAACGGTAAACAGGCGCAGTTCAAAGTGTTCATCAAGCACACGGAGAAGGAGTAAACAGTCGCAGTTAAGTGCGTGTGTTGTAACTTTGTACCTAGAAATACTCGCCATCCATCCAAAGATCGACATTATTCCTCTTTCTGGTGAGAGCCGCTTCTTTTGTATGTGCTCGTGGAGCTCATCATGTACTTGATGAACTCTGAGTAAGGCAAGGACCGACTGTAAGCACACGAAGAGGAGCGATCCTCAGTCAGTGATAGAACGACTAATATTGAGGGCATAAGTAGTACCTGTAAGCACACGAAGAGGAGCGACTACAGATACAGTAAGCATATGTATAAAGGAGCGCATAGAGTGGGGTACTTACTCCTCAGTCAGTGATAGAACGACTGAAGAGCAGTGCGAGCCAGAGTCCTCCCTATATACTGTCCAGGAGTAGCATACGTAAGCAGTGATGGGAAGACATAATTGGCGCAGAGGTCAGACCGGACAGAAGATGGATACGATGCTGTGCGGGCTGTGCGCTCAAGACAAAGAAAGTCCGAAAGTAGAACAAAGAAACAAAGAGAGAAGCGTAGAAGAACGGAATGGAAGAGATAAGGGAATACAAGGCAGTGAAGAGACATGTGGAACTATGGGAACTATCTCACAATGTCCATGTGTACGTAGAACTGTCTGTATGTACCTATGTTCGATATCCAATGTTCAACACACCCCCTCGTTCAAGACGCGGATGAAACTAAACCAACGTGCTCGCAGAAGTACTTGAGTATCGAAAGAGGAACTGACTTCGTAAGCGAGTCCGCTAGCTGCTCCGCAGAAGGAACGTGAAAGAGAGTAACTTCGCCTTCCTCGATGTATTCGCGAATGAAGTGGTAGCGGATGTCGATGTGCTTTGTGCGACGGTCAACGGCAGGGTTTTCAGAGAGAAAAATCGATCCCTGGTTGTCCATGCAGAGCGGCGTAGGACTCGACATATCGTCACCAACTTCACGGCCGAAAGTGCGAAGCCACTTCATCTGACGGCAAGCGTCTGACGCGGACATGTATTCCCCTTCAGTGGAGGAGAGGGATACTGTGCGTTGTCGGCGAGAGACCCAGGAGAGTGCACCTCCTGCCATCAGGAAAACAAAGCCGGTTGTCGACTTCCTGTCGTCGCGGTCTTCTCCCCAGTCCGAGTCCGAGTACGCGATCATGCCGGCGCCATCCTTTCCATCGTAACGAAGACGATAGTGCGAGGTACCACGGAGGTAGCGAAGGACGTAGCGGGCGTAACGCATGTGATCTTCAGACGGATTGGCGTTGTACTTGGAGAGACGCGTGACGGCGTAGGAGATGTCTGGACGAGTACCGAGCATGGCGTAAAGAAGGCTGCCAATGAGGCTCTGGTACTCCCGACGAAGGGTTGCAGGTGCTTCATCCTGTCGAGCGACAAGGACGCAACCAGCGGGGAGAGGAGTGGATGCAGCGTTGCAGTCAGACATGTTGAACTTCTCGAGGACGGCGTCGATGTACTCTTCCTGGTCGATGTCGAGGATGCATTTGACGCGATCGCGACGTATACGAGTACCGAGGAATCGTTGCACCGGTCCTAGATCAGTCATCTTGTACTGCTTGCTGAGTGAGTCCTTGACGAAGTCGATGCGCGTGCGTGAATTGCCCATGACGAGTAGATCGTCAACATATAGAACAATCAGCGTGACTTCGCCTGGAACACCCCCTTGTCGACGATAAACGTAGACTCCGGCATCTGAGTACGTGCGGACAAATCCCAATTTGATGAGCGAGTCGTGGATTTTGAGGTTCCACTGGCGAGAGGCTTGCTTCAGACCGTAGATGGCCTTCTTGAGCAGACAGACGTAGTCCTCTTTGCCAGCTTCAACCCATCCTTCCGGCTGCTCCATGTAGATCTCCTCGTCGAGATCGCCGTTGAGGAACGCGGTTTTGACGTCCATGGCGTCGATATCCCAGTCTTCGAGTGCGGCGTGCGCAAATGCGAAGCGGGTCGACTCGTTCCTTGATACAGGCGAAAAAATCTCGAAGTAGTCTTCTCCCCAGTTCTGTGTATAGCCCTTAGCTACGAGGCGAGCCTTGACTCGACCATCGTGCTTGATATCATACACCCAACGACATCCGATGACGTTACGACCCTTGGGGCGAGGTACGAGTACCCAGGTTCGATTTTCCATCAACGAATTATACTCCGAAGCTTCAGCCTTGAACCACTCATCACTCATAGGAGAGTTATGCGCTTCGCGGTAGGACTGAGGGATGCCTTTCTTGCGCGCAGCGTGATTGATGATGGTATTGAGCAGATCGAAGTACTCGCGCTCTTCAGCTGTACGTAGCTGTCCGTCTCGTCGTGTCCTGGCGTCGACGCGTGCAGGAGGTTCATCACCGTAGAAGTTGTCCCTGTTGCGATGCGGATTCTGTCCTGCACCATGACGCTGAGGGCGCTGAGGTTGTGGTGGAGGACCAGCATCGACATCAGGTACGTCTTCGACAGTAGGATGACGGTTGCGACGGTGGTTAGGAGCACGTGGCGGTGCACCTGGTACAACAGGAGGCGGTGGCGGAGCTTCGGGCTCTGGTTCAGGCTCGGCATTGGGTGGAGCTTGAGGAGGGTGTGGGACCATAGCAGGTTCCGGAGGAGGAGTTGGAGGAGGAGGTATGAGCTCAACTGGTTCGTTGTCAGGCTCTCCTTCAGGGATGTCCGGAAACGGTGAATCGTCGGGGGTTACACGACGACGGCCGGTGGGGTTTTCACGTGCAGGGAAGACGTTCTCATCAAAGTCCACATCGCTAGAGACCATGATGGAGCGGGTAGAGCGGTTCCAGAAATGATAACCCTTGGAACCCTCGTAACCAACAAACACAACTTCGAGTGCCTTCGAGTTTGTTGTCGCGTTTGTCCCTTTGCACATGTACGACTGCTTTGCAGCCAAAAACGCGGAAGTGGGAACAGTCTGGGACGACTCCGTTCCATGCCGTGATCGGGCACTTCCATTTTAGACGACGCATTGGCTGACGGTTGTAGATATGCACCGCAGTGTCGACCGCACATTGCCAGAAACCGTGAGACAGACCTGCAAAGTGAAGCATACACAGGGCTTTGTCCATGATGGTCCGGTTCCAGCGTTCGGCACGACCGTTTTGCTGCGGCGTTCCTGGCATGGTCATGTCATGCTCAATCCCAAGTTCGCGAAGAAGTTCTTGGAACTCTGTTGCGGTATATTCACCCCCTCGATCGGATCGTACCTTCTTGATTTTTCGACCAGTCTGTGTCGATACCCAGGCGTAGTATGCTCGGAAAGCTTTCGTCTGTTCCGATTTCGCCTTCAGGTAGTAGATTCGACCAGCACCAGAGAAGTCATCAAGGTATGTTACGAAGTACGTATATCCGCCGATAGAAGTGGGCAGTGGGCCGACTAGATCAGTGTGGATCATGTCGCCTGGAGCTTCTGCACGCTTTGGTGATAGAGGGTGTGGTTTGCGCGTCATTTTGCCTTTGGCGCAACCATCGCAAACAGTAGACGGGGTAGGAGCAGGACCGATGTCGTCAACACCTTTGACTGCCTTAGGGAGCTTTTTGATCGCTTCCTTAGAACAGTGACCCCAGCGGTTGTGGATGAGTTCCCAATCGACAGTAGACGACGACGACTGAGCCGCGGGTTGAGGTTCTGAGGGTTGGACAGGTTGGACGACAGTGCCATTGATAATATCCGTGGGCAGCTGATAGAGGTTGTTCATAGGATTAAACAGAGCCTCAAGACGCATAGCACCAGGGAAAGTCAAGCCAGCGTGTGTGAAGGATGCGTCTGGGACGCGAGGATCGAATATGACCATTTTCCCATTCCCCTGAATGATGAGATTTCCGGCGTTCTCGATGGCACCAGTTGAGAAGAGACGAGTACCCGTGTTGGGAATGTACACGACGTTCTTAAACTCAACTTTGACGTGGTTACCGTTGAGATCGATTCGAGCAATAACCGTTCCTTCTCCGAGTGCGCGGACGATACCAGCATCTCCTTCCTGAGCCGTATGGAAGATCTTGGGCTCACGGTATTGAGTGTAGGAGGAGAAATCATGCTTGTATGCTGATACGTGACGCGAAGCACCCGAATCCATGCACCAGACTGCGAAGTGAGAATCACGCTTAGCAGTGTTACCCGCGTTGTACCAAGCAGCAGAGATCTCATTCGACGCGGACGAGGCGTCCGACGCTACAAGTACATTGACAGTCTGAGCCGAAACGTTATGCGAATGTCCAGAATTTCCACCACCACCATTATCTCTGCCTTTGCCTTTGCCGTTGCCCTGACGTTTCCCCTGCGGCTTGAGCTCGGGATGCTTCTGCCAGCAGTGAGATTCATCGTGGTTCTTCCCTTTGCAGTGAGCGCAGGGACCACGCGGCTTGGGCTTGGTCTTGGTGACCTTGCTGACGGACTCCTCGCCATTGCCAATCGATGTCTTGCGCAAGGTCTGCTCGGAGCGAACCTGCGAGATGACGTTGTCGACGGTGATGTTCTTGGACTCGTAAGTCGCAAGAATAGTTGTGACGATGGCGCGATAGGAGACCGGGAGCTTGCCCATGCACATGAAGGCGCGTTGACCGTCACCGTATTTCGCGATGGTGGCGTCGATGCGGTCAAACTTGGCGTTGTAGGTCGAGATTTGGTCGGCGAGGTCCTTGTTCTCGTCGAAACGGTCCTGGTTGATGAGTTCCTCGAAGAGGGCGAAGCTCGACGCAGTGTCCGACTTGTCGTAAGCCGCTTTGAGAGCCTCCCACATTGCGTTCGCGGACATCAGTATTTTTACACGTGTCAGACAGGGTCTGAAAAGGTCTGTACAGACCCATCTGACCCCTTTCTGACCTGTCCGACCATCCAACATCAGACCCCACCAAAATTGTCATCCGACTTTGCTGTATCCTCCTAATCTGACATTCTGACCTCAATCTGACATTCTGATCTCAATCCGACTTTTGTGTGAGACAGCTTCACACACAATGCGAGCGGAACAGGGTGTTGATATGTATATATTGCTGCATACAGGTACATAGTCGTTCTATCTAAAGCATAGCAGGATCGTGTACGACGACGCGGAGCTCACGGCGCTGCGCTGCGCCTGCTCGACGTGCGCGCGCGGGACAATGGTGACTGGTGGGGGCTGTCGCGGGCACTGCAGACCCTTGGCAATCCTTGTGAGCGGCCACGGCCACGCGTCCTCCTCCCATGTGAAGCGCGGGAGGCAGTCGTAGGTAGCGCTGCCATCTGTGATCAGCGAGAATGAGCAACGGAGCCTCACAAGCTCCGCGGTCGCACGGGAAACGAACCCTGGAGGTGAGATAGAGCGACCGATCAAGAGTGGTGACACGCACGAGTTCAGCGCGGGTGGCCTCGAAGCGCGTCTGGCGCGTGGTACCAACCACGCCCGCCGCGCGACCCTTCTCAGTCTTGAAGCGCAGACGGTGTTGTCGCCGCAGAGGCTGATGAGCTGGCCCGCACTGGGTGGCGTTCTCGTGGTGCACGTTCGTGGAAGACGCGAAGATACTCGTCATGGACCTGCACCGGGTCGGGGTGTTCGTTGCGTGGATCGTCGCGGACCCCTGCACGCTCGGTAAGAAGGTGGTCGCATACGATGACGAGCTAACGGTCGTGGACGTGTGGGCGGTCGCGTTCACGAAGTCGGGCGCGGCGGAGGATCTCGCCGCGGGCAGGATCGTGGGTATTTGGAGCGAGACAGTTGTGCCGGGTCAGGCCGCTCAGGTCGAACTGACATGTCTGCAATGGGGGCCCGGTTGCCAGCGCATTCGGGGCGTAAATAAGGGAGCAGGCGAGACGGAGGTGACTCACTCATTGCAGCCCGACAATTTGTGGGGCGGATGAGGGAGAGGGCGCAGCTAGGCCCCCGCACCACAGATCGCGGCAGCGGCGGCCTGGGCCCGAATACCTGACGGCGCAAGTGCACGAGGATCCCCACCGACGGCTTCACGAGGCAGACAGGTTGCGTGTGCAGCCGGCAAAGGAGGCCAGCGCGGCGAGTTGCACACGGTGTGCGATTTTTATGGGTGTGGGGAGCGCAAGAAGAGGAGGAAAGAGAGAGGATGGGACTTACACTTGTCGTCCTCGGCCACCGCATTGGTGAGAACGAGACGCGGGCAAGCGGGGTCAATGGGTTGAGGTCGGGAGTGCAGGGCACAGCGCGGGCGTGGGAAAATGCAAGGGGGTGAGGGTGAGAACGGGTGGATGCGTGCGGAGATCTGCGGTGCATACCTGTCTAGGTTGAGACAATGCGGTCCAAGACGGGCTGGGTCCGCGAGAGAGTGCGGGAGTGGGATGGATGATGGCATGCTGGAGGTGGGATGGAGATGTGCTGGCGGTAAACAGAGTTCAAAGCGCTCACTGGCCCGGCCCCGGCATTCGCCGAGCCACCCTCCCAGCGCTAGCTCATCGTCTTCTCCCCCTCCTCCGTCGACTCCGTGCCTCTGCTCCGCCTCTCTGCCTGCCCTCCCTGGATCCTCGATTTTGGTACCCCCCCAACATCCCTAGACTCTTAACACCCTGCCGGCCGCCCCAATACCCCCACAATGTGCCGAGGACAACAACATCCAGAGTGGCTCGGACATGACGAACGCGCGGGGTTGCAGGGAGGCTCCGTTTCGGTGAGTCCTCCCGCTCATACTTTCTCCCTCTTCTCCATCCCCGTTCTCGACCTAGCTCTGGGCACTGCCAGCACCACTAAGTTCGTCATCCCCATCATCTCCTCCCCTGCCATCTTCCTCCCCTCGCTTCCTTGCCCGTCCCCTCAGGCCTCATCGATATCACCGCGCTCCTCGCCCGACCTGACAGCGAAGAACGGCTATCAAAGTTTTCCCGAGACGTACGACAAGCACACCAGCCACCGCTCCTCCCTCGCCTTCTGGTGCGTAGCCAACATCGCCATCCGTGGATTCGGAACCTATTCACTCACGCGTCGTCGAGGCCGGCACCCGGTCTTCTCGAGGCCTGGCTCACCAGCAAAGGGTCGCCATCAACCCCTCCGTCACCGCAAATGGCGTGCCTCGCGAGCAATTGGAGATCCGGGTGAGGGAGCAGCGCGAGCAGAACGCCGTCGCGGTGATCCAGCGCACGCTCGAGCGCCAGGTGTTGGAGCAGCCCAAGGCGAGGGTGGTCGAACCATTGGGGAGGGGTGGCGATGCATCGCATGAGGTGCGTACCGAGACTCGCGGCGGCATGCGTGTATGCCTGACCCTAGGACAAGAACCGATGCAGATGGAGGCTGCCCAGCCTCCCGCGGGCTCATCGCGCGTGCAGGCGCAGGACGAAGACACCTCGGCGGAGACGTCCACGACTAGGACAACTCGGCCAGGTCTTTGACTTCGACCGCGGCGGCGAACTCTCGCCTGGAGACGGAGACAGCGATGTGGATATGGACACAAGCCGTGACGACAACAACCCTTCGCCCTCTCCTGAGCAGTAACAGAACGACGGAGGCACAATCCGGACCACGCATTCCCGCCGCGCAGTGGGCATTGTCTCCGACGCCGCTGCACCCACCACCGTTGGGCAGCCTGGGATCGATGTTCCATCGGATGCGCACGTCATCATCAACAACGAGGGTGGTGTGCCCAGTGTCGGCGTCGAAGACGGCCTCGGCTCCTGGTGCGCTCTTAGGCCCTCCTGCCCCCTGCACAGTTGCTCACGGACATCCAGGTGCGGGTGAATGCACACCACGCGCGGGCACGACTAATATGCCGATGACTGCGCCCCGGAGCCTTCCCTACTCCTATCCTCGCCGAGCCCTCTCGTGGACGCAACCCATGCTAGCACAGGAACGGGAGCTCGCCACGCTTCTGTATTGTTTAGAATGTACACTGTAGCATTAACACAATATATCGTTGTTTGAGTCTTCTAATTGTGTGGTCCGACAATTTATGAACTACGGTCCAGTTCCAACGGGTGCTGAGGACCAAAAATCGGATGGTCGGATGGGTCGGATGAGGGTCTGATGTCAGATCGCCCAAAAGTCCGACTTTCTGACAAATCTGACACTTGTAAAATTACTGATGGAGGTCTTGCCGGTGAGATGCGCCTCCTTAACCTCGATCGAGACCTGTTTGACGATCAGGCCTCGTGCCTTCGATTCACGCTGCTTCCAGGCAGCAAGTGTAGTGACTTCGGTGGCAGCAGGTGGAGGGTCAAGTGAAGGAGTGGCGGTAATCTCCCAGCAGGACAGCATGAGGCACATCCCTTCCATGTCGTGCGCCCACTGCTTGTATCCATCGCGACCCTTGAGCACCGAACCCTTTGCAATGGGGATCGAAGAGTCCATGAGTGGTAGCGTGTAGAGAGTCTCGAGGGTGTCGTCTTCTAGAGGGACGAGAGTGGGTGAAGGCGGAAGAGGAGGATAAACGTCAATGGGATAAAAGTCGAGGGGACCGTAGATCGAGAAACCGTAGAGCGGAGCGTCTGGGGTGACGTCTGCTTCAAGGACTTGCTCAACTTCGAGCGAAGAGTGGTGTGAGGAGAGAGGAGATGGGGGAACGTCTGCAGCGACCGAGGAAAGTGGAGAACCTGGTGCAGAGACGTCGAACTGAGGGAGTTCCGACCAACGGAGGGCGTCGAAATGACGAGGGTGTTGAGGAGAGTCTGGAGCGAGGTGATATGGCCTAGGCGTACAGTTCGCGGGCTGGTTGATGTCCACGTAACGGTTAGGGCAAGGTTGTACGTCGCAAACAAAGAAATCTTCTTCCTCGTCGTCAAAGAAGACGTCTTGTCCTCCGGATCGGCGTTCGTATCGGTGGTAAAAACGTGAGCAGTCGAAAACGTCAATCGCGTCGGAGTCCGAAGAGCTGCCAGACGAGATCTGAACGTCGTTGAGGTCGGTAGAAGGACCAGCAACGTTGTCTGCCACGGTGAAGTCGGTGAAAGTTCAGAGAAGCGCGATGTTTAGAACGATATCCCCTACTCGTGGAGAATGAGCACCCGTTGGGGCAACCTCGCTACGAAAGCCTGTCGGAAGGCCTTGTGGAGGGTAGAGGTGAAGACGGAGGAAGAGGACTGCGAGGGTAAAACCCAAAGCTATGTCCGACCAAAACCGTCCACGAGTAGTCGATGGGGAGATCTTGAATCGTTGGCGAAAGGTGAAGCGCGCGTTGCTCAACGTAAGCAAGCTAGAGCGCAGGGCTCATAACCTGATGAATTCTGAGTAAGGCAGGGAACCGACTGTAAGCACACGAAGAGGAGCGATCCTCAGTCAGTGATAGAACGACTGAATTGAGGGCATAAGTAGTACCTGTAAGCACACGAAGAGGAGCGACTACAGATACAGTAAGCATATGTATAAAGGAGCGCAAGGGAGCTTAATTAAATTGTTACCAGGGGCGTCTATTCACGATTACCAGTAGTAACTACTAGTAGTTCATACAGTATGCAGATATGTTGTTCTGTGACCTTTGTCACGTGCCTTTGGGTGATATTCATAGTAGTAAGTAATAGTAACGATACGATGATGCCACCCTTGCGGTAGTAAGTTATCTTGAATGTTACATCATGAGCTGCGTGCCCGGTGGAAGGTGCAGCCTGCAGCCGCGCGCACGTGCCATGGACATTGGGGCGAACAGCAGCCGGGCGACACGCGCGCGAACTCATAGGAGGAATGCACGTGATGCGGTGAACAGGGAACAGGGGAACGCGCCACGCAAGACTGGGCAGCGCAACCGACCTCGACTCCGAGTTTCTCAGACTCCGTTCATTCAGCTGCTGGGCTGGCCCGGCCCGGCGTTCCCGCGCCTGTACGCGCGCGGTGCTTTCTGTCCTTCGCGTGTCGCTCCTCCGCTCGCCCCTCCGCCCGCCCTCCTCTGATCACTTCTTGTCTCGCTCTTACTGTCGCTCTTTCGCTTTCGCTATGGCTCTCTCACACACACTCGCTCTGTCTCGTTTTCTCTGCCACTCGCGCGTCCACGTGTCTGCTATCGCCCCCGCACACCCTCGTGTGCTGTCGTAGGTGGCAGGCACCCGCGTGATGTGGTCTGAAGCAGTCTGTAGCGTACTCTAGCTCCGTCTTAGCCTAGTGTACCTCAGCGTTTTCGATTGCGACCCGCTTTCAGCTGATTGCTTTGAGTGTGGAGTGCGTACGCGTTGTCAAAGTGGTTGTCGTGCGACGTGTATACACTGCATTGAAGTAGCACATTATGTATGATAATAGTTGCGCCCACATTAATACATCTCGTTGGTCCCAGCTCGAGTTGCACTGGTGCAACCGCATTCTCTGCACCATATACCTCGCACATAGGACGCACCCGCATCGCCGATTACTACCTAGAAGTTGAGATCAAGCGCACGCAAGACCTCCTTGTAAGCGTCAAGATCGTCGGCATACTCTGCAAGGGCATCCCGAAGAGACTAGAAAGATACATAAGTCGGAGACTGAGAACAAGGGTATGTGAACACTTACGAGGTCATGATACTTCTCGTCGATCGACACCCCCGGCTTCAGTGATTCAACGTGACACCTGCGAAATCGGTCGCGGCCACGACCGTACACAGCACTCTGTTGCATAGCGTATGCACGCTTGCCCCGCGATAAGTCACTTTCCTTCGTCGTCACTTGCCAAGCTTTGGAGTAGAAGTCATGGCCAGCGACGCCATTACAGAAGTCCGTGAACAGGTAGTTTGCGTGGGCGTCCGCTTGATACTTGCGCTGTAGGCGAGTGTGGAACATCGTCGACTGTGCTGCAGCAGAGGTTAGGAAGCATCAACGATAGCTCGAAGATGTACATACCATTGTCGCGCCACTGCGGCTCAGTATCTTCAGCGGGGGGTGGTTCAGTAGACTTGGCTTCTCTTGATGGCTGCTGCCGCTTGTCCTTCTTGGGGGTTAGAATGCGCCAAACCCAAGAGGAGTACCGTCGTGTGTTGCCTGGTTGACGCGAGGTAAGGTCGGAGAGGGTCAGATCGGTCTTCAAGTCGATCGCGCGCAGACGACCTTCCGATGAGTCTTGGTCTGGTTTGTGGTCGAGAATTTTGCGCAGTGCCGACACGCGTTGGAAGTTGTCGTTGTAGCGTTCGGCCAGACGATAAGCGTAGTGACCGCTCCTCTGGAGTTCGGTCTGGAAACGCGTACCTGCTTTCTGCCCTTGCTTCCCGGCGGTCTTCTTCTCGCGCAAGAAAGACGCACGATACTCGACAGCGCTTTGTACATGGGCAAGATCATCGAAACAATCAGCAGTGCGCATGGCCAGCTCACCGCGGGCGAACACCTCGATTTCGAGGATCTTGACCTCTTCCTTCGTGTAATCTGAAGGTAGGCCGATGATTTCCTGGTCGTCGATGTCGTTACTCGTTCTCTCGTCATCATCGTCGCGGACATTTCGAGAGAACTCGCGTCGACCTTGCGCGACAGGGTCCTCATCGGCAGCGGCGAGCGGCATATACCGCTGTTTCTCCTTGAGCCACTGAGTAAGGTCTCGGATATATCCGTGACGGGCGGTGGCAAAGGGGACCGTGGCCTCGTCCGATTGACCGAAACCCTTATTGCCCAGCTTCTTGCGCTGCTGGAGCTTGAAACTAGGAAAGATGTCAGAAACAAATTGTTCGGTAGGGGTACGGAACTCACAGCGCTCTTTGCACGTCGATCCCACTGCGGACGAAGAGCGCTGCACGCTTCTTGAGGTCCACGTCTGCAGGGGAAGAGTGCTTCGCGTTCTCGTGGGATTTCACGAGGTCATCGAACGCCTTCTCGCGATTAGGAACTGCGTTTTCTTCGTCAGTGTGAGCCAGTACAGAAGTGCGGGGACCTACGATGAGTGGTGTCGAGCACAAATGGGCTTTGTTTGGACGACTCTTCTCGCTCCTTGAAGTTGAGCGGCGTCGGCGCTGAGGGTCGAATGCCTTGCGCAATCCAACGAAGAACCTTGGTGGGGCCAGCGCCGGCAATCATCGAGGCCAACTCGTCTGTGGCCTCTTCCTGGTCGATGTATGTCTTCTCGACCTGCCTAGCCAAGAAGTCAGCTAGGGGAACAGTATCAACCTAGGCACGCGCCGATACGAAGATATTGCTCACGCTGTTTCTGCCGTTGGCAAAGGTTCCAGAAGTTGAACGTCATGTTGAGCTTGTCGTGTCGGTTTCCAGCCGTCATCTCACTTGTGGCGGGCCCGGCGAAGTTCATCTTGATCCATGGCCTCTCGACTTGCTCGCCATGCTGGAACCCGAAACCGTAGGAGAGTGCGAGCGAATAGACCGTCTTGCATATGTCGCGGTGGCCGTGCGCGTGGAAGGCGGGCAGGCAGCAGTACATCTTCTTGATTATGGGGACAACAGCGGGGAAGTTCTTCTCCATACGTTTCAGGAGGTTGCGAATATAGATGCACATAATGTCGTATGTCATACCGACCTCGATCAGTTCGGCCGCATATCGCAGTAGGTGCCTGGCGACGAGTAGGTCGATGAAGGCATACCTATAACACTATTAGCCATTAAAAGTACAGCGGACGCGGAATCAACTCACCGCTCTCCCGAGATGAGGTCGATTACACCTTGATGGAAAAAGAAGGTATGACGACAGGTTATGGCGGCGACGCCACTGATATCGACTGTCCGGAACTTGCCCAAACGCTGCGCGCGAGCAACCTTGAAGCTGCTGCAGGTATGGGTCTTCGCGACAGTTAGCGGTATCATCTGATAGATGGAAGTACAACTTACCACGCGGTCGTCGTCATTCTTGAAACTCTCTTCGACCATGTTCTTCATGTCGGCCAACTTGACCATGAACCCTTGCCCCTCGCTAAGGGCTTTGTCGTTCTTGTCGTCGTTCTTGGTCCTCTTCGGCATACCATGGCAGGCGTCGACCCCGAGGTTGTGGCGGTAAATATATCTGATAGACGAAGCGTAAGTGTGTAATCTCATGAGGGAAACGGTCGGACGCACGGGGCACGCGTTTCCTGAGCCCAATCATGGGGAAGATTGACGCTGGGGAGTGGGCAAGTAAGACATGCAACCGTGAGGTCGTCCGAGCTCCAGTTGGGGATCTTGACGCCGTGGTAATGACTGGCACGCTTCTTCATCGTCAGGTGCTCGAACATGCGATGTACACGACGGAAGGCGTCGTAGGGGTCCTATGAAGCTCGTAAGAATGGGGTAGGACGAGGAAGGTCCAGCCTCACGTACCGGCACCTTGTCAGGAAACGCGCTGTCGGTCAGACGTTGCAAGATGTCAATAAAGTCGTAGGCGTTGACGTTGCTGACGTTCCAAAGGTGGTCGTACAGTGTGAGTAGTGGAGTTGTGAACGCAGTTTGAGGCTGATCCAGGGTGGCGGGCCAGATGCGCTCCTGGATAAGTTGACAGGGGACGGAAGGGGCATGGAGACAGTGACAAAACTCGACTTGACAGCGATGGATGCCGTTCGTGTGGCAAATGGTGATTTTGGATGGCGATAACCACCCCCCTCGGGACGGGCATGCCTCACCACCGTGGCCTAGGCGAATGGTGAAGTCGAGACTGGAGAGGTCGTACTTCTTTCAGAACTCATCATCACTCCGGCGGGCCTCCACCCAATGGAACCAGTGGTGGCGATGCGCGGTGAGGTGGCACTGCGTGCAATGCGGACTACTATCCCAGCACTCGGTGCAGCGTAACCAGGCGTCCTTATCGAGGCACCGAGTGCACTTGCTGAGAGGCTTGCGCGAGTCCTCCCAGGAGAACATCGCCTTGATGACCTCCGTTTCGCGCAGGAGCCACTCGTTGTAGTGGTCCATCATCGTTTTCTGCAGTGAAATGAGTGGAGGACATAAGCAAACACACACTCTACACACCGTCTTTGGTTTCGGCTGTTCCACCTTCTCAGGATCGGCGGACTCCTTCTCACCGACGGACGGTGCATCCTCCCAGCTGTTCTGAAGAGAATTGGGCTCTTGGGAGACGTCGTACCCAGTTGGGAGGGCATCTGCGAGGACGGATGGTGTGGTGATGTCAAGCCGAGCACGTTTCGAGGGCGTATCTTGCCGTAACTTCACCGTATGATAGTGGACTTGCCTCTGGGTGACGATGGGTATGCCGCGATGGTCCCGGCCGTACACAGTGGAGGACCCGGCCCGTAACTGAGGGAGGGCTGTCCGAGGTGTCTTCTTCGTCTTTTTCTGGCGGAGGCCCATGGCATAGAGGGGATGAGACAGAGGGGGAAACGGACATCGAAAGCAGTCCATTCAATTCAAAAGACATACCTACCATCGTAGGTTGCTTGAATGTGGTCCGGGAGGAGTGTGGTCCGAGAGGTGTGGCGCCCAAAAACGTTATGCGAGTGGTAGATGTGGTACAAGACATGCGACGCGACAAGCAATTAGTATCGTAAAGAGCATTGTTCATTCAGGAAACACATGAGGGACAAGGGGAGCGCGGCCGGAGTAAGTAAAAAAAGTGGTACAATAGAAGGAAGCCACGGCCCGCTCCATCTCCTCGACGGTCTGTGCGTTAATCGACGGGTCCACCACAATCTGCGAAGGACACTGTGGCCATCTCATGACGACACGGCAGAGGGCTTCGACGCACCGGACGCGCGAGCTCGGCATGCGATGGGAGAGGCCTACGCCGAAGACCGGAAGCTGGTGAAGGCGGTAGAGGTCGCGATGATGGAACACACCCACGAGAACTTGCTCGCGGATGAAATCCGCGTCGGGAACCCCGTGCATGGGCACCAAGAGTCGGTCGAGGGCGAGGAGTTCGTGGCGGAAGCCGAGCTCAAACAACTCCCAGAGAATCAGTGGTCCAGTGGTTGCATCAACCGCGGTGATGGGACGGTGGAACCACTCGATCGCGCCGGAGTCTCGCTCTTGGAAATCCTCCATCAGGAACACGCGACAGAAGACCTCTTTGACCTTCTCCAAACGCTGGGTGCGACGATTGGTCACAGTGGTGGCCGCCGCGTTCGTATCGCCGTTCAGGAAGTCTCGCCACCACTGTGGCCCCACGCGCGTCGCAGGAGAGTCTGGAAGAGCAAGGAGGTACAGCCATGGGTCATGGACCCCAAGCCAGTTCATGAGGTAGCGCGCGACGCGTTGTTCTGTAGTGGGCCCGACAAGCAGTGAAGGCTCTGGAACCCAGTAGCCCCAAAGTTCCTCCGAAGGCCTGCTGGGTTGGGAGCGATCAACGGATTGCATTGCCAAGTCCCACGCTGGGAGCGTACGCGGCATCCACGCGTGATCCTTGTCGACGAACTTGTCTCGCCCACGGAGGTGACTAGGATGTACTGCAAACGTATGAGCAAGATATATCATGATATACAAACTAACGCGAACCTTTCTTCGCCTGGGAGACCCTGTGGGAGCTTGACGAGGGCAGGGAGCGAACTGGACCGCTTGCTGAGGGCTCCGAGGACGGTCGCACACGATAGTCGAATCGCGTCAAAAGAGGTGCTTGAGATACGTCGACGTACATGTGCTTGACAGAGCATACAGCTTGGAGGTGACGCAGGCCCGAGAGTCCGGAGAATATGGGGACCCCGTCCGAGGCAAAGGGCGAGAGAGCCAGCTTTGACGGCTGGCGCAGAGGGGTTGCAATCCGTTGGACGTCGTCGAGATTATCTCCAACGCGGGGTCTGACGAACCATACAGGCACACCGGCACGATAGAGTGTCTGGGCGTCCCCCGGATCGGTGCAGAATGCGCCCATGTAGCCAAGTTGGACGGTTGAGGCTCCGGTCGCGGACGCCGTAAGACGAGAGTAGTCGATCCACGCGCAACATGCCAGCCAACGACGCTGGGTCTCCCGGAGTTGAAAGAGAGAGTCGCGGAACGTCGCTGGGCAGAAGCGGAGACGATCGCGAGCTTGAGCCATCGCAGTGGCCATATGCGCGAGCCGAGGGATTGGGCTTCCAAGGCTGTGGATATGCTCCTGAACTTGTTCTTGCATCTCGTCGACGAGAGAACCGAGCTTTCGGAAGACGGGGGAGACGAAGAGACCAAGCGATTTGAATACGCAGCCCTCCACTGGTCGGAACTGTGTCTTGAAGTCTGGAGTCCACCAGACCGGAGCGTACTGATGATCATCAGGGTAGGGGTGTCGCACTACAGACAAAAAGGCGAACTCGGGGGCGAAGATCTGAGGCCATTGGAAGGGATCGTGCTCCCCGTAGCGGCAGTCGGATCGCAGGGAGACCTTGATGAGACCAACGAATGGTTCGGGAACCCAAGACATGTTTGGTGTCGTTACGATGTAGTTGCCGTCCGCAGTGAACGCCGCCACGTGGGCCTTTTTGATGTCCAGATCTTTAAGACGGGCGTTGGTTGAAGTAACGAGGGTGTATCACTATAGACGTACCAGCGAAAGCGTCGGGGTCTGACTTCGAGCCGTGGGTCATGGCGTGACGTTCCACACGAATTGAACCTAGAGAAACAAAGGGGAACGCTGAAAGAAAGCAGGTGTGTCTTGTTGCGTTGGTTTGCGGCGCGCGAGACAGTCCAGCGGGGGGTAGAGAGGTCTGACCAATAGGAAAGACCTGCCGAACACTACGGAAGGACACAAAGTCGTTCCGTAGTCTGACGGCTGGGGAAGAGGGGTGGGAGGATACGAGGTGATGGCGGTGGTGGAAAGAGGGTGCGGTGATGTCAAGCTAGTGATGGTGGAAGGAGGACGTCGAGTAGGTTGAGGAGGGAGGGCGGGAGAGAGAGGAGGAATGTCGCAGGAGCGCGAAGTGTCAAGCGCACGCTCGGAGCGCACGCTCGGGAACGCGGGGCGCCCATGACGCTGACCTCTTCCTCCCATCTGCCATCTCCCTCTCTCCTGGCGCTCTCCCCGCCTCACCCTGAGTTCGTCCAAGGTGCGTAAAGCATTCACTGAGCCAGATCTTGCGGCTTGCTCACATTCTCATAGTACAGGAGTTGTAAGATGGATCGGTACGTGTCACTTTACCCTCATGCATTCAACCCCGTCGCCTCGGCGGGTCCAACACCCTTCTGCGAGTCCAACACCCTCGCCCCTCCTTCCGCAAGTCCACCCCCCTCACACCATCCTCTCCCATCGCCGTCCTATCGGACTATGGCGAGTCTCGCACGACTTTGTGTCCGCGAGCTCGTCTGAGGCGTGTTTCCCACTGGATCACATCCGGAATACCTAGTGCAAGCCCTTCTCAAATTCCTCGCCCATCGCCCCTAACAATCCCTATCATCAACATGGGATCTCCTCAACCTATCAGAACGATTGAAGACACGAGAAATCGGGTTGCACGGTCCGGATTCAAGCTCTCGGTGGGCCACTCGACCAAGAAGTGCCGCCACAAGCCCCGCTTTGTTTCGTTCTTAGTGGCGTGATGTGGTCCGTTGAATATATAAAAGGTGCGCCCTTTTGACCGGGTGTCGAGTTCATCGCATCTGATACCACCTCTCCATGACCCAGGCTCGCGATACGGTTCTCAAGTACTTGCACGACCATCTCGAGGGCTGGTCTAACCCCCATGAGGTCTGCCGTGACGGGACCCTCCACCTCGTTCGAGCGTCGTGGGGCAAGAATCGTGCGTCTCGCACCGGCATGGTGTACAACATCGTGAGTGGTAAGCACCTTATGCTCATATTTGCACGCTAACGATCCACTTTACAGTGTCGCAAGGACTCCCCATGTCCTTTCGTGGTATGCAAGGTCCAACTCCCCCATTCTTTGCGTCTGGAGTGCCTCCGTGAAGTTCTTGCGGCGACATCCCACCACCCAGCGTCATGGCGGGCCGATCTCATCAGGGAGATACACCGCCTGTGCTCTCGCACCGGGGAACCGTTCATCGAGGCCGCGCTTCTTGCGACCCTCAGCAATACCGCCGACAACCCCACCCCGTCTCGCCTCGGAAGGCCGGCTCTTCCACGCGAGGACGTCACTGTAAGGCTCTTCTTGGAGGTATGGGTCTCAGCTCGCGTCAGGCATATCTCTCGTGCTAACCAACAATTAGAATTGGACGCCGCCCACGTCCATCAAAGAGCAAGGGAAACGCTACAAGAACAATACTGTAGCTCTCCGTTGGGGCGAAATGCAAGAGTTGCGTGCGGCCATTTCCGATGCGGTCATCAAAGGCATCATCGGCCGTAACTCTGCGTTCGAGTACTTCGATTGTCCATCAAACTCCTGGAAACCCAAGTCTGAAACCCGCATCGTCCTCCAACTCCATGAGGGCCTTCTTGTCAGGCACAAATCCGTTCAGATGCCTTTCGAATTCGCGCAGCAACTGCGCGAGGTGTTACCACCGAACGTACCCTCCCTGCTCCCGCCGAACCTCTCCTCTATCCCGCACACTCCGAATGCCTCTGTCGGCCACTCATCTGCTCAGCCGGATGGTAGTTCCAAGCTCTCTCGAGACCCCGCGCGCCGCCAAGACTCCCCGCCGTGCAAACGACGTGCACTTGCGTCTGCCCCGTCCCCCACCCCCGCTCCATCGCGTCTGCGGATACGCAGAATGGTCCCCACGTCCACTCTGTTTGATGTAGCGGACGAGATGCATGCTCCCATGACGGATGGGTTCTGGGATGCTCTAGCGGCCGAGCAGCACTCCGATGGGGACAACGACGTCGACTATGAACAAGACTTCTTCTCCGACTTTACAGAGTCCTTCACTGACATGTACGCCATGTCCGACGCCGAGGACACAGATACAGCCCCCTCGAGCAGCGTATCAGCCACTCCTGCTCCTGCTAGCGCGTCCTTTACCTCGTTGCGCGCGTCCATGCCTGTTGTGCGCGCAAACAACGTTGCTCCGCCCACCGTGGCCGCCTCCACGCACCCAACCGGTACTCAAGTCCGCGACCCAGCCACCCCGACGCGCGCCCCACGTGTGCTCGCCCCCCTTCCCCGGACTCGCACGAACATTCCTACCGTGCGCCCCACCGTTGCCTCCACTAGCACCCAAGTTTCCTGCGTGCCCGCCACCAGTAGCCAGACCCGCTCCGCCCCAACCATGGCTTCCTCTGCCGCCGCGGCTACCCAAGCTCCTGCGTCGGCCACGGCTGGAGCGCGTTCTCGCTCCCCGAGTCTTGCAGCGTCCGACGACTCCGAGCGCACCCTCGTGAACGAGCCCGCGCGCCCAGCCTCCGGGATTCCCGGCACGTCTTTCCTGAACCCCATCGTCATTGGTGAGGGCCCGGGCGAGGATGCGGACCATGCCTTCCAGGTCTTTGATCAGACGGGCTCCCGAGACGATCCAATAGTCCTTTAGCTACCATCACTCTAATGTATCTATATGCAAACAATGTTAATCCCCGTTTTCCGCTCACTTTATTTCGCGGTCACTCTGCCCGCGCGCCACTCAGGTCCTCGCTGCGCTCCGGCCACAAGGACCAGTGCGGCCACAAGAACAAGCGTGGCCACAAGAACCAACGTGGTCAGTGCATGCTGCGGTACGTGACCCGCCTCCAATTGTTCTTTCCCTTACTCATTCTGGCTCCACTCGGTGCTTGCCACACGTGCTCGGACAACGCGTCGCGTCGCGTCCCAGACCACTCCCTGCACCTTTCCTCGTGTCTTGCTTACACTCCCCTCTCTCCCTCGTCCGTCTCCTTGCCCTTCATCCACCATCATGTCCGACGACGTATCACGCTCTCCATCCCCCACCCGCACGGAGTCAAGCGCGCACGAGACAGGCTCGTACAAGCCCTCGCGCAACCCATCCCCTGCTCCAGACCCCAATGCTACTGAAGATGGTGGTGCGAGTGTTCCGCCACCTGCTGGCAATTCGAAGAAGGGTCGCAAGAACAAGAAAGTCAAGGCCTCGACAACCCAAGACGTGGTCGAAACATCCGACGACGATGAACCAAAGCCCAAGAAAGTGAAGAAGCGCCGAGGCAAAGGGCGTGCCGACCCTATTCCCCTACTGGTCGAGGCGACGGCTGAGGGGAAGGATCGCGGAGCTCGTATAGACTGGGACGGTCATTACGCCACTCACCGCCAATACTACGCCACCCGGTACGAAGAGTGGAGGCAGCGACCTCGCAAGGAGAAGACCAAGTTCATCACTGACCGCGCAAACGAGGCCATACAGCAGTGGGGTCTAGAACCGGACTCGAAGGCAACACCAAGCTGGTTTATTGAGGTGAGTGCGTGGCGCATAACGCGGTCGACGCATCCTGACCCCCGTATAGAGATCCCGCCACTGGTTCAACAACGTCCAGAAGCACAAAACCTGGCAAGAACGGATCGAGAAGATCATCGGCGACGAGCACCGTCCGCAGATCCGCAGCGTCGCCGCTCAAAAACACGAACCGACGCCTCTAGTCAAGCGGATGGTTCAGCGAGCGAGCGCAGCCTTCGTTCTGTGGGCCCGAGATCCGAAGAACAAGGTGAAGCTCCCCGAGTATGACGGTCCTAACCCCGGGATGCGTGCGTCACTCAGGTCGCAGGCGTTCGAGAAGGAACCTACCGAGGTGCAGGACTACTACAAAAAGCTCGCTCATGAGGAGTCTCATCGCGCGGATCCGAAGGTGGTCTTTGAGTAAGTCTCATACCTCGCATTTGATGAGAGCGCACTGACCTGCGAGCAGGAACCAAGAGACCATGGGCTCCCTGCTCGAACAGAGCTTTGATCAGCTTGCCGGGTTCCATATCGCAGGCACCGGGCAATCGTCCTTCTCCACGATCTGGATCACACGCAAGTCTAACAATGAGTTGCATTTCGAGTAGTAAGTACCCATCTCTCAAGCGAGCTTTACTTTGCTTACTCGTTGGCAGCCTGTCCGGCGGCGTCAAGACGGAAGAAGACTTTTGGGCGTTCGAGGGAGGGCCGACCGCTGCAGAGAGAGACCGCATTCACAGGTTTGCGGAATCCCATATTCGTGAGTGCATCTCCTCCTCCCGACCAAATCGCGTGACTAACTGTACCTCAGCGCCGAACCCCGACTTTCCCGCTGACGATGAAAAGAACGAGTTGCCTGCATGGGACCCGAGAACGACTACCCAAATGCTGGCTCTCAAGAACGTCCACGACTACTTGCAGGCCGCATATCGTAAGTCTTCTCTCGAAAGTCGTGAGCTCTCGTTCATACACCCGCAGGTATGGCGCATCCTCAAGACCCCGCGGTCACGCTGAGAGTCGCCGATATTGGACAGAAGCATACCATCGCGGATGTCTGGCAGGACGCCGGCATCGAGGGCTTCGAGACCATGCCCTTGCCTGAATTCATCACTCTATACCAGCGGCTCTACGACGCCCAAGGCACCCCCGACGCCTTCCGTTTCCTCCCGAGCGACCTTGCTCCACCCCAGCCCGCCACCACCGGTGTCTACAACACGCAAACGATCTACCGATCACCGGCAAAGCGCATCGAGAAACACGCCCGCGTGTGGGATCTAGGCTCGCCCCCCTTACCGCCACTCGACCTAACTCCCGACCTCCACGCTCCCGCTTCTAGCGTCGCTACACCATCAGGCCCTGAGAACACGCTCATAGAGCCCGAGTCGCTTGAGCATGAAGTCGACGAGTGCGATCGAGTGGGCGAACCACGCGTCGAGGACAAGCGCGCTCACCGCGAGACCGAAGAACGCGAAAGCCTCGAGCGCACCCATCTCCACGCTGAAGAGCATGCCCGCGTCGAGCGTGAGGCTGAAGAGCGTTCCCGCGTCGAGCGCGAGGCCGAAGAGCGCGCCCGCGTCGAGGCCGAAGAGCGCGCTCGCATCGAGGCCGAAGTGCGCGCTCGCATCGAGGCCGAAGTGCGCGCTCGCATCAAGGCGGAAGAGCGCGCCCGCATCGAGGCCGAGGTGCGCGCTCGCATCGAGCGTGAGGCTGAAGAGCATGCCCGCGTCGAGCGCGAGGCCGAAGAGCGCACCCGCATCGAGGCCGAAGAGCGCACTCGCATCGAGCGCGAGCAAGACATTCAGAGGCAAGAGCGCGAATTGCAAGAAGAACTCACTCGAGGGCCCGAGCTCACATCCAGCACCTGGTTCAAGAACACGCCGACAGGGACGCCTCACGCCTCGCTCCGGAGCAGGCAGGGCAACAGGAAGGCACGCGGCGCTGCGACGAGAATGCGCGCGAACACGGGACGCTGCAGCTCGACCAGCCCGAGAGGCGAACGACGAGGGCAGTGGCACGAGCAGCTGCTGAGACTGCTACGGCCGAGCCGAGGCGCAGCGCTCGTGGTGGTCAGCCCCCCCGTTCCCCTCCTGCGAGCATCAACACGCGCACGCTCAGGCGCAAAGCCGAGGCGGTTGAGGGCAACGACAGCGCGTCGGCGAACGGAGGGGCGAAGCGACAGAAGACAGCGCAATCGAGCAAGCCGTAAGTCACTTCGTTTGGGAGCGCACGGTAGACATGCTGACGCGTGTACAGCGCCCCTAGGCCGAGGGCGAAGGCGGCGACGTCCGGCTCTGGACCCGCGACGAGGAGCAGTGCTCGGTAGTCTGGGTGTTGCAGAACAATGTAGTATTGCTTTACCACGAACGTAGGTAGCGGCCGACTATGCGTACCATTTGTACCAGTAACTCTACGATAATCGTACGGTTTTGCGAGTCGCAATATTGAACAGTAGTAGCTTAGTAGTAGACCAGTAGACCGTGGTAAGTGCTCGCATTGCCCGCCATGCACTAAACGAGACAAATGCGACGCGTTTGGTCCTACCACAGTGCTTTACTAGTAGTTACTACTGGTAATCGTGAACTGACGCGCGCCCGGTTACAATATAATTAAGCTCTATCGATAAACCCTGTGAGCGACGCTGGGGCTTACCAGTTCTCTAACCGCTCCGCAGTCCACTCTTCAGTCCACTGCCTAGACCCGCTATCTTCTCTCCCTTAATCAGCACCCACAGCCATGAAGTCTTTTGGTACCGTCTTTGCCGTCATCCTTGCGGCGTCTCAAGGTGAGTTGACGACTCGTAGTATCCGTCATTACGACCGTTGACGGATACGTTCATTTTCTGTGTAGCACTTGTTCTCGCTAAGTCGGTATCGCCGTCCGTCACGGCACTCTCTTCGACCGTCGGCCCATCCACCACGTACACCGACGGCCCATCCGCCACGTACACCTCGGACGACCCGTCCTCCACGTACCCCGCAGACCCAATCGACAGTTCTGCCGCGGAGACCGCGAACGCGACGTTGGCCGACTCCGCCAGCGCGACGGTGACCACCCCCGCCAACGCAACGTCCACCCACGTCTCCAACGCCTCCTCCCTCGCGAGCGGCTCCCACGCGAACGTGACCTCCTCCGGCGCCGCCGCGAGCCAGACCACTGCCATGTTGAACGGGACCCCGAGCAACTCGAACCAGTCCAAGCCGGACGCAGGCAACGGCGCGTTTGCCGGTGCGTCCGTCGACGTCCGGACCGGGCTCGCGGCGATCCTCGTGGTCGGGGCTGCCGTCGCATTCGGCTTCTAGGGCGCCGTTGTTGCGGAGGAGTAGCGGGAGTGGGTGTCGGGTGTCACGGCGGCGGAGGGAGATGGAAATGGGCAGAACGGACCAGTCACGATCTTTTTCATACGCTCCTTACTTTCCGTGGACACTGATGGTACACGGTTTGCACACAACGCTTCGAGAACGGGCCAGGCTCGATCGCAGAAGAGGGCTTCGAGAAACGGCATCGAGTACTTGCGGGGGTGGCGAGCGCCATCGTCTGATAACGAGAGAGCGCACGTCCTGTGCGAGTGAGCGACGATGGCTGTCCTAGCAGCTTCCGACCAGGAATGTTATCGGGGACGATCCACTCGTCAACTAACTCGCCATCATCGTCACCGGTTTTCGGAACGTCTTCTTCGGGAAGGATGAGAGGTGTGAGATCGGGGGAGAGAGGGACATGTCCAAATAACCATTCCGACTCCCAGTCGAAGGGGATATCCAGCCTGGCATGCTTGGAGCGGGACAGGACGAGCTCGTAGAGTCGTTGGGGCATGTTTGGGGCGAGGAAAGTCCATAGATCTGGCGCAGACCCGATGAGATCGCGCCACGCCCGACAGCCGAGGAGGAGCACCTTACGCCGTCTGTGGGTCCGTTTGGGATCGTCGTCGGCGGGGCGAGGAGTGCAAGTAGAGCGTTGGATATCAGACAAGAGTTAATGGCGCTGAAGGAGGGACGACGAAGCCAGAACTAACGGTACCAAAGAGAAACTGTGCGTTCTGTACGATACGGTCCATCCGCTGTCGCGAATTCGCGGACCTCGACGGTAAGACGTCCGCCTCCTGTGCACACAAACGCGTCAGTATATCGCCATTCATGCGTCCACTTCGCCGTTGGGACTCACCACGGCAGCGCTGGCATGCTCTACGACGGCACCAGACGCGGCGGCGCTGTGCATGGGACCGACGGCCGCGGCGGACCGCGCGGCGACGACAGCGAATGCGGCAACAGCAGCGGAGGGACACACCGCCGCCGTGGCAGCAGACGGGCGCGCGGCGGAAGTCGCGGCCGACAGCGCAAAGTCCTGGTTGGGGTGCACCGCCGTGGCGAAGGCGACAGCAGCGGAGGCGACAGCGGCGGACATGGCAGCATTTGCAGCTTTTGCGGCGGGGGCGGCAGTCGCGGAGAGCACTGCGAGTTGCGGAGGTGATCAGACACGATGGAGGCGGTAGGAAGAGGCAGACGCACGTTGTGGAATCCGTCGTACGATATCCCGGTCGCAAAAGACCTCGGTTCGGGGAGAGTAGCTGCACACTCGGTTGCGGCACACAGCACGGAATCGAGGAGGACTGAGAGGGCGCTAGTGAGGCGCATTGTTGTGCGGTCATCGAGCTCGGTGTTGGAAGTAGTTTTGTCTTGAGAGTGCTTGGTGAGGACTAGTAGTCGAGTCCGTGCCATGCTGGATGCCGTGCAAGTGTCCGTCAATTGTGGGACTTTGCTCCGGGTTACAATCAACCTGAGTGTCCGGGCCGCGTTGACCGTCTTTGCAGCATGGCTCTCGGAGGTTCACATAGCGGAATCGCATGTGCGCGACAGTCGGAGTCATGGGAGAAGGGCCGAATGCAGCTAGGCGCCAGCGCACCGCCCGGGAGCATCGATTAGACGCCTCAACACCATTTCCGCGAGTCCCGCAGTTCGATTCCGGCTCACGTTAATAGCAACAAGCGATGCGTTTGTGAACATTGTGATTCTGAGAGCACTCTACAGAAGCTGGTATACATCACAATGTCCTAAACGCGACCGCGCTGTAATACACAAAGCATAGTTGGCAAATCCCACAAAAGTCCAGGTGTGTAGGCCGCGACAGCACACCTAAATAAAACAAGAGGAAGGGTAGGGAGGGAGGGGCCGCGAGTCTCGGACGGCGAAAACGAGTCTCCAAAGGCGATGGTACAACGCCTCGCCCGCCCGAATCGAAGCGCGGAGCCCCGCTGCTCGCGTCTCTTCTTCCTCAGAAGCCGAATACAACCGCAGCGCCCACGACGAACACCGCAGCGGCGCCGACGCGCCCGTCGACGAACGTGCCCAGCGCGCCCCCCGTCCCCCCGGGGGTCGTACTCGGCTGAGTGGACGAGCCTGAGGTGCTCGCGGGGTTCTTTGAGGTGGTGCCGGTGGAAGGGGCGGAGCTGGTGCCGTTCGAGGTGGGAGGGGCGCTCAGGACGGTCTGGGATGTGGAGGAAGTCACAGACTGGGTGGTCGAGGAGGAGGACGTCACCGAGGTGTTGTGAGAACCAGTAGAGCTGGACGCGGTGCTGGTGCCGTGGTTTCCGGCGGAGCCAGTAATAGAAGTGGAGCTGGTGACACTGGCGGCGGTGGTAGTGGGGTTAGTACTGCCGGGAGAGCTGTCGATGATGGTCGTTCCGGTAGTGGGCGGAAGGCTGACATGGCGTTAGTGCGAACGGTCAATGCATTAGAACCATGAGCGCTCACGAAGTGGTCGAGCTGGGGCCGATCGACGTTGATTCAGAGCGGACCTGGAGGTCATCCACAACGACCGCAGTGACTGGGCAACGCGCATGAAGGTCCGAATCCGGGGACAGGGCGAGGTGGACTGGCATCACGTACCCTGAGCCGCAAGGACAGCCACAGCAAGGACGATGCTGAACGAACGCATGTTTGAGGTGAAGTCAAAAGGGGGTAAAACAGTAGTGTCACGAAGGACGGCGAGGTATGCGTTCGTATCGCGAGCCGGGTGGGGAGGATGGCGGGTAAGAGATGGGCAGGCTGCAACGACGGGCTCGGTATATGAGGGAAACGGCGAGCTGTGCCTTCCCACAAACTGAGTGGTTTCAATCGGCGCGGTCCACGGGATCGCGGGACCGCCTGTAGGATCAAGCAGAGCGGCGCCGCTGCCCACACGTCAACTTCTACTCTGCCTGCCCGAGCATGTGTTGCCTAGGTGCTGCACATCTTCGACGACCCTCTGCGATGACGAGCTCCGAGCAAAAGCCTACCCCATGGCCGCAGAATGAGCCCTGCACACTCACAGAACCTGTGGCACAAGGAGAACAAGGAGAACATGGAAGGCTTCTTTACCCCGCCGCACATCTCGGATCCGTCACGCACTGCTGAGTTTGTCCACCACGGGGAATAATCCCCGTCTCGGTGGCAACACTGTAGCAGGTTTGGGCACAGGGCAACCGGTGATCAATAGCCGCTGATCAAAGTACCATATATACTTACCTAACACATCGGGAAGCTTCCCTGAACCGCATGCAGAGACAAAGCAAAGCCAAACGAGGTTCCAGCTGGAACGGAGACGACTTTGATAACATCGTCACCGCGGTCTGTCTGTTGCCGTGCAGTGATCTGCACCCGAAGATGCGGGGAGAGCTGGCCGGCAGTACAGCGTCTGGGTGGGGCAGTTCAGGTTGCGAATTGACAGCGTGGGGCAGGGCAATGCAAGGAGGGCAAGGGGATACGAAAGTTCACGCCCGTAAGTGTTCGAGTGTTCATACACTGACAGTACACGCGCAGACGTACTTGCTTACGGCGACGATGTCCGCGTTTCCCGTCGAGTTCGAGGAGTCATCTCCTAGGGAGGCGTAAGACTTTCGCGTAGAATACTAAAGCAGTGTGCACACACCACCTTCCACGGAGGAAATGCGGCGTTCCACTGGTGAAGACGAAAAAACACCGGGGTTGGAACCCCACATCGTCATGAAATAAGCCACTTTATGGGACTTGTTCACACAGGGAGGAACGGAAATCGAGCGGATCCTGGAAATCTGCGCTGCAGAACGCCACGAGCTGCCACGAGTCGGGGGAAGGGAGAAGGGGGAGGAGGAGGAGGAGGAGGCGGGTCATGATTCGCCAGATCGCTCGATATCAAAACCCACACGTGGCAATTACGGCGCCTGCCGAAAGCGATGTCATCGCGCGGCCACCCACTCGAGCGTCTCCTAAAGACTTACTTATGTCCTGAGCTTGCCCTCAGAGCACAACGAGGTGAGTGCCGAGTCATCTGTTAGAAGTCGGCGGCTCGGTCGGGGTCGGACGAGGGGGTAAAGGCAATCGATACCACGCGGTTGGTCCCTATGGGCACCGGGAGGCGAGTACAGACGGACGCGGGGGAGAACGAGGCGGTGGGGAAGGGCAAACGCGTGAGGCGAGTGCGGGACGAGGGGCGGCGGCTATCTACGGGATGACTAAGCGCTGGTACCGTACGACCGAGCTTGCTAAGTATGCGGGCAGATTCCAACAGGCCCCCACAAGCGAGGGCGTATAACGAGCACAAATCGAGGGGAAGACGGTGGTACAAAATGCGAAGGGTCGAGGACGAGGGATCGAGGACGATGGGTCGAGTACGAAGGATCGAGGAAGACGCTGAATCGGTTACGCTGGTTCGAGGACGATGGATCGGTTTACGCTGGTTCGAGTACGATGGGTCGGTTACGCTGGATCGGATACGATGGATCGGGGTTTACGCTGGATCGAGGAGAGACAGGGGCATAGAATCGAATAAACAAAATCAACGTGACGAGGATCGGGGACAGGGGATCAAGACGATGATGCGGGCGACCAGCTACAACCTCAGGAGAGCAAGCGAATCACGATGTCGAGCACGCCAATGACGGCCGGCTAAAGTAACCACAACATGCCGACAGGGGAGCACGGAGGCGAGAAGGGGAAACGAGAAAATGCGCGAGGGGATCGTAAATCAAAACGTACAAATGTCCCGTGAACCTAGTAAGAGACAGCCACAATGGGACTCTCCAAACAACTCCGGAACGGCGCAGGCGGTGGGCCGGGTGCCATGGCTGAGGCGGCGCGCTTCCTGAATGCGGGACTCGACCACGAGGAACACTAGTGGGAGCGGGAGCAGCGGCGGCGGCGGTCGCGGCGCGGGCGGCGGATGCGAGGGCGGTGGAGATGGAGGGGCGATTCTTGCGATAGGAGGTGTGGGGGTCGAAGATCGGCGGGGAGAAAGCGGGATCGGAGGATCGCAAACGGGTCGGGGGTCGAAAGGTGATCGCGGGTCGGAGGGGGCTTCGGATCGTCGAGATCGGATGGCGCGGACAACGAGTAGGCCGGGCGCGGGCGCGGAATGACCTCCGGGCAAGGGTACGCGTTTGTGTTAGAAGTCGGCGGCTCGGTCGGGGTCGGACGAGGGGGTAAAGGCAATCGATACCACGCGGTTGGTCCCTATGGGCACCGGGAGGCGAGTACAGACGGACGCGGGGGAGAACGAGGCGGTGGGGAAGGGCAAACGCGTGAGGCGAGTGCGGGACGAGGGGCGGCGGCTATCTACGGGATGACTAAGCGCTGGTACCGTACGACCGAGCTTGCTAAGTATGCGGGCAGATTCCAACATCATCACCCAATTGTATTCAACCTTCCAGCGAGCGAGTACCGCATACTCCGCGAAGGTTCCGGACTCCGAGCCCCGGTGAATAAGTGGCCGTATCAAGTATTTTTAGTTGACGAGTGAGTGTCTGTAGCGTCGACTGGCGGTGCGGACCGCTTTTTCCACGAACGTTGTGTACACACGAGCCCCGCGTCTCAATATCCTTACCATCGATTGCGCATGCGCATTCCGCTGCGAAGCGTTCATTTTTGTCTCTGGGTGCCTTCAGGTTTTCCGCCGACTCGGCCACCACCTCGTCCGCCTCTTCCTGGTACAGCGTTAGGTCGAAGGCATCCTTGAGCGCAAGCGTTGGACGTGGGCGTGCAGATTGCGCGGAGACTGTGAGCTCCCTATTCGCTTGCGAGACCTGTGAATGTGGGATTACGACACTCTAATGATTGCGCCGCGCAGCTTCCTTGACACCCCCGACGTGAGGCTCGGGCGCGTCTCCCCGCGCCCTTTTCCCAGACCCCTGCGTATTGCATCCGCCACCTACCCATCTCGCGCAGGGCGACAATTTCCGGTCTGACGATTCTCACCATTATAATATGGACTGCCAGGACGTATGGGTGGTTTGTACTGTCGCGCCGCCTGCGGTGCCGTTGATTCCCGTCGGATGCGGTAATCTTCTGTCTTCGGGAGCTATTACAGCCTGCCTGAGCGTTGTCGCAGCTCGTCAAGCAATTCCAAAAACAGGATGCATTCATGAGCCGTCCGGTCGGAACAAAGGGGGATCTATACAATCGTTTGCACCCGCTATTCAATCGGTGATCACTAAGAGCTTCACCAGCGGCCAGGACAGCACGCAAGTCGGAGAGGGAGGACAACGACACGAAAAGCCCTGTGCTCACCAAACGCTATGCCTGAGGGCGTGAGCACTGAGAAGATCTTTTGGCATGTTTTCACGTCAAGCGGAGGGGGAAATCGCTACCTAAGACGACAGCGAGCGTGTATACGGAGGAGGACG